AATTTGGTTGGGCCAAACTAAAGTAAGAGTGCAGAAATGGCAAATTAAGTAATTCTTCCCCCTTTGCCATGGCAGGGGTGTAAAAAATTGGCATTTTATGGCTATGTTCTATTTTTAGCCTTGTCAGCAATGTTGGTTGGCAGGCGGGTTGACCACATTTTAAACTAAATACTGCAAGAATGACTGTTGCCAAGTTTGGTTCCAATTGGCCCTGTAGTTTCAGAGAAGATTGTTGTAAAAGTTTAAGGAGGACAACAGACGTCAAGTGATGAGAATAGCTCACTTGGACTTGTGGGTCAGGTGACAGAATTATTGATGTCTAATAACCCCACATACACTGTATTATAATGTTCATTGCTAAAAAAATCTAACATGACTTACAACTGGTCATGCTTCTTTGTCATTTGGTCCATTGTGGAGATTTGTCTCATTGGCAATCATACCACATCTTCTTATTTTTATATTGTAGATGTGATCAAAACTATTTCAGTTATTCTCTTATTAAAAGGGGCATTACATGTAGCTACAATTTAGACAAAATTTAAAATACCATTCTTTTTGTTTCAAGTATTAATTAAAAGCGGAATTTGAAATAATATTTCACAGAACGGACAGACGGACGGGTCAAAAACATTATACCCTCCGCAACTCGTTGCATGGGGTATAATAACCTCAAACCATTGCTGATGTATTATTGACTTGTAATAAGTAAGCCTCATTTCAATCCATATTAATGGGACCTTTAATTTAACCCCTTAGCTGGAGATTGGACACGCTTGCACTAGGCGTGTTCAGCTACATGTATTAAAAGGAAAAGAATGTCTACACTGAAAGTGAAACAAGGGTGAACTATTTTGTTTACTGATTCGATTCCCAAAAAATCATTCTTAGGTAAAAACGATGATTATCATATTTTTTAACCTATAACATCTGTCTGTGATGTTAGCCACTACTACTAGCCCAACGCCCCAGATTAGTAAATTTCAGCTCGGACTAGTAAATTTCATTTATCACTAGCCCGACCGGACAAGAAAGAAAAATAAAGTCCTTTCTATGTTATTTGAAATTTTGATCATATTTGAAGTTCAAATTGACAAGTAATGCAGAAAAGATAGTCAAATTAATGTGCAAAGTCTATACAAATCGTGGTCAATGCTTCATACATTTATCCTGAGATAGTGTAACCCCACAGAAACAAGTTGCGAGATTTACGGTTTTTCGATCCTTCTTATTACCAAAAGTATGCCAACACAGTCAAAATAAATTTTCCAATAACCAAAACAATTGTTTATAAAACAAAAAGACTATCATGTTATTTTCGATCCATTACATATCTTAAATGTTTAAATCATGTTTGAGTTTTACTTCACATGATTAAATTTATGAGTTTATCGTGAAAATATCATGCTGTTACCCATCAGGCTTTTTGGTATTAAGAACCGAAGACCATGTGAGCGTGCTATATCTTGTGATCAAATTGCTCTGGTGAAAAGACGGGGCAAAGCCAGCAAAGGCTTTAAAAAGAATAAAAGAACAGAGATCCAATGTCCCCAGCGTTGCACATATTTTATCTATCCAGGGGCAATAACTAAAAAAAAAAACTTTTTTTTTGTTGTTCTTTAAAACAATTTATAAATAAAAAGCGTGCGCGGGGGACAAAAAAGTTTTTTTATTGCATACTAAATATTTCAAACAGACCTTCAAGGGCATTACTTATAGTATACTACAAGTTTTATAAAAAAAATTATAAACTGACATAACCGAAGAACGGTATTAAAATGTGACCCTACCCAAATTTGAACTTGATCTGATTTTTGTGGTAATAAGTATTGTGTATAAGTTTCATAAATTTTGGTAAGGGAACGGAAACGAAAAATTCTGCAACTTTTCCATTTGTAAAGGGGCATTACTCTAGAACGGTTAAAGTGACACCACCATCATTCAAACTTGATCTGTATTTTGTGGTAATAAGCATTTGGTTGAGGCAAACTAAAGTTAGAGAACGGAAACCAACTTTGGGACGTATGGATGTACGTAGACGGACAAGGGTAAAACTTAATGCCCCCTCCGCTATGGCAGGGGCATAAAAATGTATAATTAGTTACCCTTTAGACCTCAATGTGGACCAATTTGATAACAAGGCCCAAAATCCAAAATCTAAATACACGGCTAGATTCAACATATCAAAGAACCCAATATATTCAATTTTTGTTGAAATCAAACAAAGTTTAATTTTGGACCCTGATTAGGACCAACTTGAAAACTGGACCATAAATCAACAAGAGGCTGTCAGAGTGACAGCAAACCTGATTTCCTGCAGAGGGTGAACCCTGAACAGTTGAGCAAGTATGGACACTACATTTAAGCTTAAAACAGCTCTGAATTTGGATTGTGATTGAATATTTGACACAGCATAGGTTTGTGACATAAAATGAATGTGGTCAAAAAACAGAAAAATTTGAAATTGGACATTTACCTATTATGGTCCAATATCCAAAATCTAAGTACATTGTTAGAATCAGCATATCAAAGAACCCCAAGAATTCAATTTTTGATGAAATCAAACAAAAGTTTAATTTAGGACCCTTTGGACCTCAATGTGGACCAATTTGACAAAGGAGCCCACAATCCAAAATCTCTAAATACATGGTTAGATTCAGCATTTCGAAGAACCCCATAAATTCAGTTTTTGTTGAATCAAACAAAGTTTAATTTTGGACCTTGATTTGGACCAACTTGAAAACTGGGCCCAAAAATCTAATATTTAAATACAGGTTTAGATTCAGCATTTGACAGAACGCTATGAAACACAGTTTAATTTTATCCATATAATTTTCTGTTCAAAGGGAAATAACTCAAACTGAATAAATTATAACACATAGTTCTATAAAATTAGATATGATGTTACACAATGTATATCTACTTTCAAATTATAATCAAATATAATTAATAGTTCAAAATATTTTTTCTTTCATTTGTCACAAACTAATAGAGACCTGCAACTTATCTATCAATGTCAACAACTTTATCTACACAATGTAATGTAATGAAATATATTCTGTAATAAAAATAGATTATTACCTAATTAAAGGAGTTCACTTCATCAAAAAAAATTTATATATATAGCATTCAGAAAATTAGTATATCATGTTTATACAGAATAACAAACAAACCTACCACAAAATTCTTCAAACAATTTACCAAAGAAAAGAAAAAAAAATCTAAAATGTCATTTATCATTCATACAATGTCTTTTAAAAATCTTTTAAAAAATGAGTTATTTCCTTTTGAACAGAATGGAGTAATTAATAATAATTTCATCAAAAATTGAATTCTTGGGAAAGGGCTATAACTCGACAAGGAGAAAATTTTACCTTCATTTAGTCACAGGAAACAACATATCTAAATTTGAAAAAATTTTCGTCAAAGCGTTTTCATGTTAATGAACGGACACTGTTTGGCAGCCGCCCGACCGCCCACCCGCCTGCCCCAAATCTATAACCGATTTTTCTTTTGAAAATCCGGTTAAAAACCAAAACTCATGTTTACATATAGCATACCAAAGAACCCCAGGAATTCAATATTAGTTAAAATCAAACAAATTTTAATTTTGGACCCTTTGGACCTAAATATGGACCAATTTGAAAACCTGGCCCAAAATCCAAAATCTAAACACATGGTTAGATTCAGCATATCAATGAACCCAAAAAATTCAATTTTTGATGAAATCAAACAAGTTAAATTTTGGACCCTTTGGACCTCAATGTGGACCAATTTAAAAATGCGGCCCATATCTAAAATCTAAATACACTGTTAGATTCAGCATATTAAAGAACCTAAAGAATTTAAGACTGAGAATTAAACCACATTGCATTGAAATTGGTCAAGAAATAAGCAATTTATACGAAGTATTAGAAAAGTATTGTTTCTGCCTTTTTGGCCCCTAATTCCTAAACGGTTTAGACCATAACCCCCAAAATCAATCCCAACCTTCCTTTTGAGGTATGTAACCTTGTGGTACAATTTCATAGAGATCCATAGACTTATACTCAAGTTATTGTCTGGAAACTGAAAATCCTTGTTATTGGCTTCTTTTCCCTAAACAGTTACTAATAACAATAACCCCCAAAATGAATCACAACCTTCCTTTTGTGGTATGGAACCTTGTGGTACAATATCATAGAGATCCATTCAATTCTACTCAAGTTATTGTCTGGAAACCAAATGTCTTCCGAATGCGACTACATCGCCATACCATTATATGGCCACACAAAAATTTTGCAGTCGTATATAAAACATGTATCTAAGACTAAAATATCAATCAGTACACATCCAACATCCAATGGATTTAGTGTAAAGACGTTATTAACAGTCTGAGAAAAAATATGTTGTTTGTTATGAGGGTATCATGTTACCAGAGTATATATAACAAAATCGCAAAATGAGTTAATTTTATCATTGTTTTATGGCTTGGGTTCCAGCTTGGGTTGAAAACATCACAAGTGTGTTTCTTACTTTTAAACATTTTCTACTGACTGCATATAATGTCGTGATTAGGGAAAATAACTTTCAATCAGTTGTACATCAAAGGGCTTTGCATACCTTATAAAATCGACAAGAAATTATAAATTGTAAAACAAACAAATAATTAGTTGCCTTTGTACCCGCTGGTAATCAAAGTTTTAAATGAACATTTTAACATAGAATGACCAAGTAAGGATTTTGAAGATTCAAAAAATTTTCATTATTCATCAAACAGGGGTCCATGAATTTATGTATCTGAAACTTTTTTATTTTATTTTTGAAACAGTGATCCACGATTTTAAGTATCAGACGAAATGTCTTTTTTTCTCTATCCACGAAAATTGATACCCACAAAAAATAAAGGAATCCACAGTATTTCTTAATTTAATGAAATAGGAACCCCACATATATTTTCATTTGGCCTAATGAACTTTTTAACTTCAAATAAAGCATAGTTGTTACTCAGTTATATTTACATTGATAAGTTCAGTTGGGAAACCTCCTCGTCCAACTCGTGTGAGATAAGCCTTGACCACTCCATACACTTCACCAAGGACATGAGGTGGTATACCTAGTCCTGTACAAACACCCCCAACACTGCAGTTAGATGATGTCACAAATGGATAAAGACCTGTAAAAGTAAGGAAGCATCCAAGATTAGTTAGACAATTTTTATTTGTTCATTAAATTTTAAATCAGGCCATCAGGTATAAAATTGCCTGTTGTACCTTCTCATCATAATTTTTTTTTTATATCTGAAATCGGCATCCTAAAACAAACATTTAGAAGCATTTTAATACACTTTGAAATAAATTGCATGATAACAAGTTTTTTTTACATGTACTTGCAATATTCTTACATGCAAAACACAATGTCTTTATAAAGCATGCAATTGAACAGTCCAGTTGTTGTGTACCATAAATCACATATAATTGAAAATTCTGTAGCTCGTCAACAGCAAAATGAGGTTTATGGGATCTTTTTGACTTGACCTTTTGCCTTAAACAGCCTTACATTTCCAGTCATAAAAGTGACATGATGAATAATTACTATCAAAACAAACCCTCAGGGATGATTCCAGGTGTTTTCAAATGGGTCCCTTGACTATCAAATTTGGGAATTTTTATCCCAATTGGGAATTTTTTTATGCATAAAATCTTAGACGAAATAACATTATTTCCTATAAAAAGGGAAAATGTATTAAGTTTTACCTGTACACTGCTTTACGAAGTTGTAACATTTGGAATAATCCTGGACAGGCTATTGATTATGATATACATATGATTACCAGATCACTTGGCATTTAGTGGATTGAGACGAGGGAAGTTGTTACATGAAAATCATTACACATGATGCACTATCTTTTGAAGGCATGCATCTTAGTTAGGTGTTACCTTTTACATATAAAGCAGCTAAGATATACCACTGAAAAAAATCATCCATTGGGAATTTTTTTCAACAACAGGTCATCTTTATAAATTTACCTTGGTGTAAATGGATTTCAAATTGAAATGGACAACTGTTAAATTCAGCAGACAAGTAATTACAGGGTACAAAAGTTTTAGTACATAATTGATAAGATATATTTTTGTGATTTTTGCTTGCTGTTTAATATGTAGGAGGTTGCCATAGTTTTACTCTGGGATTATTATACTAATGTCCCAGTTTAACCTTAGGTGTAACTCTAAGAAACAGGAAATTTAAGCATTGAACCATTGTATATTATAATATTATTTGGATCATCTTCACAACTTTTGAAACAGTTCCTCAATGTGTCGACATCCTATTTCATGAATAATCTATCAACATGTAATTTCAAAAAAAGTTCAGACAGTCAGACTTTTGTCTTGAGGAAATAGAGCCAGAAAAATATCAAATATAAAACGTTTCCATCATATTACATAACCGGTTCTGCTGGGCGATCTGCTTTTACAAGTTCGGCACCCATTAAATTCATCAATGTTATATCAAAATTTAAATTTTGCTCTTTGCCAAGGTCTGCTTTTACGAGACCCATTTTGACAAAAATCATCTTTTTTATCAACCTGCTTGGCGATCTGCTTTTAAGATAGTCTAAATAATTATGATGTCTTGAAAGGCTATTTAATTGTTTTTGCTGTCGTAGTAAGGCGTTACAGCAAAAAAATACAAGCATTCTGAGAGTATTGCATGGCAATACATAGTCCCCTACCGGGTAAAAATTCGTTATACTGGAACAAAAAGACAACTTGTTCTATAACTTGTCATGGTGTAAAAAAAAAAGAAAATATCAAGTCAATATCTTCAAGCATGACTAAAACAGTGTGGAAAACTGATTAAATGAGTGAATTTTTCAAGTCCAAGGACCATAACTCTGCATAAAATTATCAGATCGAAAAAAAATTTCGAAATTGATCTGTATAACTTGTCATGATAAGACTATATACCAATTATCAATCAATATCTTCAAGCATGATGAAAAAAAGTGTGGAAAACACTTTAACATTAGATATGATTAATAGTTCTCTAAAATTAGATATGATGTAATACAGTGTATATCTATTTTCAAATTATAATCAAATATAATTAATAGTTCCAAATATTTTTTCTTTTATTTGTCACAAACTAATATCTATAAAATGTCAACAATTTTTATCTACACAATGTAATGTAATATATACATTAATTTTGATTATTATCTAATTAAAGGATTTCACTTCATAATTTTTTTTATATATATATATAGCATTCAGAAAATTAGTTTATACAAAATAACAAACAAACCTGCCAAAAAATTCTTCAAATAATTTACCAAAGAATGTCTTTTAAAAAATGAGTAATCTCCCTTTGTACAGAAATATGGTTTAACATAGTACTCTAACATTAGATAGGGTCCAGAGTTATGGTCCATAACTCTGGACTAAATCATCAGACCAGAACAAAATTCGAACTTGATCTATAACTTGTCATGGCAAAACTATATACCAAATATCAAATCAATATCTATAAGAACGAAGAAAAAAAGTGTGGAAAACTGATTTGCCGGACTGACGGATGGACAGACGGACGGACCGACAGACCGACGGACAGACAGAGTGCAAACCTAAAGTCCCATTCGACTTCGTCGGTAGGGGACTAAAAATTGACCTTTCAAGATGTCATAATTATTTAGATTACTTTTACGAGATCAAATACTCCCATATTGTATTTTCGTCAATTGAATATGAGGGGTCTTATTCCGCTGCATGTTTACCACATGTTGAAATAATTGAATCATTGTTAATAAAATGCGATTGTTGACACCATTCTTATCTGGATTTTAAAATGCTTTGACGACAAAATTAGAAAATTATAGTTGCCTAAATTCCGAAATTATCAAATTTTATTTCTTTTCTTGAATTGGGAATTTATGTTTGCATAAATTTTTTTGGGGCCGCCAGCCGACTTTAGGGCCGCTAAGCAGCCCTAATTTATATTGTAGAATCATCCCTAAACCCTAGTTTAACACCTTCTCATTACAATCAAGGTTCATTAGTTATCTGACAGCTGAAATTTATCTGTTCAGGCAACAGATAAACTATTTTGTACCGGACAATGATCGGACTATTTAAAGTTATTTTCATAAATTTCAGCGGTTTGCATCTAATCAATTTAGTCAAAAAGATTTAGATTATCAGAAAAACGTATATAAATATAATTTGATGAAAAATTTAAAAAGATAGTGATAAAAGTGTTAAGCGAAAAATCATCAGAACCACGTTGTTTAAAATAGTACAAGTGTGCACATGTGCCCAGGTGTGAGATTTGATTATGCATCCAAATTTCAAAAATGTGAAAAAATTATCATTGATACCTTTATCTAATGTTCATCTTGAGTATTTTCCTGAAGAAATAATGTGGAAAGAGCTAGTTAAACTCAATCGTGCTTTGTTAACGTACACACATTTTACGTATCTGTCTCTGTTCCGTGTTTTAGCATTGTAATATTAGAAAAATGTTTTTAAAAATGAAAGTGAAGATGTTGACAGCGTATTTTTGCACAAATAAAGAGTCTAAGGCAGATATTAGTATGCTGATGTTGCACACTTCGAATGATGCAGTCAATTTAATAGTTTACGCCAGAGCATCGAATTTAAATCAAAAGTCAAGTTTAATATTGTTTTGATGTCAATCATCCTTTATAAGATGCCCAACTGATTGCCTTTTGTTACCCAGTCTTAAGGGATTAAAATCGGAATAAGACAAAATATGTCTGGCTGGCTCAAATATTTTTTGAAAGCCCTGTGTAAAACCCAATAAATTCAGGAGCTTGATGGTGAAAAACCCAAACTTAATAGAAACTTCACTGATCTATCACAAGTACATGTAGTTCCTATCAAACTAACTTAAGCAGAAAGCTTAACATCAACAAGACAAGAGTGCACATGCTGAAATGTCTCCCCTTCTTTACTTACCATTGATTTTATGTTGATAGTCCTAAATATAAAGCTTTACTATCACATAAACTTAACAAGACCCAAGAAAATGAGGTCAAGGTCAGATAAACGAAACTGGAATACATGTACACATTTCAATCATTCCATACACCAAATATGCTTTGAATAAAGCTGACCTATTGCACATATTATTTAAGAAACAAACTTGACCAGGAAAACTTAACATTGATCAATGAACCATGAAAATGAGGTCAAGGTCAGATGTACCCTGCCAGACAGACATGTACACCTTACAATCATTACAGGCTTTAAATATAGTTGACCTATTTCATATAGTATGTAAGAAACAAACTTAACCAGGAAAACTTAAGATTGACCAATGAACCATGAAAATGAGGTCATGGTAAGATGATAATTTCCAGACAGACATATACACCTTACAATCATTCCATACACCAACTATAGTTGACCTATTGCTTAAAGTACAAGAAAAACAGACCAAAAACAAAAACTTAACATTGAGCAGTGAACCGTAAAAATGAGGTCAAGGTCAAATAAAACATGCCAAACTGACATGTACATTGTAAAATATTTTCAAACACCAAATATAGTTGACCTATTGTATACAGTGTTAGAAAAACAGACGAAAACACAAAAACTTAACTATAACCACTGAACCATGAAAATGAGGTCAATGTCAGATGACAGCTGCCAGTTGGACATGTACACCTAACAATCATTCCATACACCAAATAAAGTAGACTTATGGCATACAGTATTAGAAAAACAGACCAAAACACAAAACTTAACTATAACTGCTGAACTATGAAAATGAGGTCAATGTCAGATGACACCTGCCAGTTGGACATGTACACCTCACAATCATTCCATACACCAAATATAGTAGACCTATTGCTTTAAGTATCTGAGAAATGGACTTGACCACGAAAAATTTAACCTTGTTCACTGATCCATGAAATGAGGTCGAGGTTAAGTGAAAACTGTCTGACTGGCATGAGGACCTTGCAAAGTACGCACATACCAAATATAGTTATCCTATTACTCATATTAAGAGAGAAATTAAGAATACTAAAAATCTTAACTTTTTTTTCAAGTAGTCACTGAAACATGAAAATGAGGTCAAGGACAATGGACATATGATGTACAGAAACTTCCTAACATAAAGCATCTATATACAAAGTAGGAAGGATCCAGG